TCAATGTTTTCGTTATATTTTTTTCAAGATGTTTTAAAAAAATTGAAAAATTTTGTATAATACTGAAACTTTTGAAATTCGAAATTTTGTACGCATAATTCAACATTAATTATTTTATTTGCAGGATTAGCAAAGACAGGCCAGAATCCCCCGGATGGTTTCATGGCACCTAAAGCATGGCAAGTACTTGTGCAATACTACCAAAGTTTAGACAAAAATTAAAATTTGAACTCTTTAATGAATGTTAAAAGTTTGATCTTCAGACGATTTTAAGTGAATTTTGACGAACCTTAATTTGAAGTTTGGCTACTGATATTTAAAAAAGTAAGAGAGAGAAAAAGAGAAAGAAGTATCGTTTTTCTTTCTCCTCTATCAAAGTTTTGATAAATTTGAAAAATTATTTCAGAAGTAATTTAAAAAAGAAACTCAGATTAAAGACAGTGCGATTAATTCAGAACAACTTGTACAAAAAAAGATCGATTTTTTTGTAAAGAAAATCCCGGTTATAAAACTAAGTCCTATTTAGGCAGATATAATTCGTTTATCTGGTTCATGTTTTTATCAGAGCATTAATATATTATTTTATTTTAAAACTAATATCAGACTATTCGTTGAAAATCAAGAATTTGAACGTGCATTATTCTCTACATAGTGTATGCTAAAGGTCTCATCAAGTTTTTTAATAACAAAAACATAATATAAACATTGTAATCGATAAAATACCTAATGTGCATGTAGCATTCTTAGTGAAATGTACATTGAATATTTTATCGACCAAAATATTTATAATACTTTTGCACTTAGATATCTTTATGTATAGTTTCTTTATAACGGAATTGGCATGAATTTGCTATACAATTCTTTCGCGATCAATAATAAAACAAAGAGATATAAAAGAATTTTATCTTTCCTCGAGATGAGAGGAACATTCCGATTTTACTTAGGAAGAATTTTCAAAGATACATACAATCATTGGAATAAGCATAAACGCAGAAAGACCTCATAGGCCGGTATTCATAGTCAGATCTTATATTCAAGATCGTCTTAAGTTCAGCCTTGAGGTGTCACGAACCAATCAGAGGGCCGCATTAGCGTCTTAAGACGTTACTTAAGACGGTCTTGAAATAAGAATCGACTATGAATACCGGCCATAGATATTTTGAAGTAGAGATATTGATTCAGATAAATGTATAAGTTACATTGAAATTTAAATATACTTTACTTACAAACTTTATGTCAAACGTTACATATTTTAATTTCATGCAGCACAGAATCTTTAGCTACATTACAATACGTTGCAATTTTGTAAAAACATTATAAAAAGAAACATTGCAAAATTACGACAAGACCCATAGCAATTGTGGCAACAAAAAATTGTCCAATTCTGATTTATTAAGCAGTATATCCGGTATTAAGAAAACCTTATGCACTAACAAATACAATAATTGCCATTGACATAGCTAAAATAAGATCATTATATATGCATTTACTTATCTAATAGATGTACATACTTTTCTGATTAATTCCAAATAATTTTTCCATTAAATTTTTTTCTCAATATACATATACATATATATGACAACACATACTGCAATTGCGACTATACTTGATTATTTATTATATAACGTAACATTTACGGTTACATTGCTACTTTTATTAAATTTATTTTTATACTAGAAGATATATAAAAAAGACAAGATTTTTTAAATCTTACATTGAATCTGTTTTTTTTTTTAAGTTTATCCGTTTAAATTACTAATACCGAATGTATAATATCATTAGATATTTATAACACTCATTAATATATGTGCATCATACTCAATTTATGCTTTGTGTGATGATACATTTTATATTGCCTTGGCAGACGTTTCTAACGTTACGATTTTTTAGTCATCTAGTTAACAGACTACACAACTGCATGATACATAATCTTGCAATGAAATATTTATATAGTGTTTTTGCGATCTTTCTGTGCTGTATGAAGTGTATTCTTTCGGATGCATCATCCGGCATATTCACAATAATCCTATTGTATATAAAATTTTATTTTATACAAATGAAGCACGAAGAGTCTGATATTTTCTATATAAATACATAGAGAATAAATGTATATAATAAAAAAAAATATATATATGTGTTCTCATGAAAAGATATTGTTTAAACAGTACTCTTATCACGCCCGTGTATGTTATTTTTTGTCTATTTTATATCTTAATAATCATAATTGAAATAATTTTAAATTTTTAATGACAAAACTGGATACATTTGTACAATCAAATCTTTATATGTTCTTAAGAATCTGATCTATAAATTTTGAATTTTTTAAAATATATTTCCATTATTGTTGCTCAATGTTTTGTTATTATAAAATATTGATCGTGATAATTTTTTGATGTTTTTGTATTTTTTGAATTTTTTTACATATTTTGCAGCATAATTTCTGCTGCAGCGGTTAAAGAATTTAAAAAATAAAAAATTTATAGATTTATTTTTAAAGTAAAAAAATGCATAAACTCGAATGACTAAATCTAGAAATATTTGAAATTTCAATTCCTAACATTAAAAAGATATTTCGTTGCAAGATTACACAATATTGTTATACGACCGTAAAATAATTACGATTATAAATAATTCACGATTTACGACTGTTTTTATCTACAGCTATAAATCTGAAAGAATTTCTTCTGCGTACATTTCATATATATATTTTGTCGTATACAAGTCGAGAAACACTGATTTGTTTGAATGTAATAATGCAGAGAAAAAAGTTGAGATAATTTGATTGCTATAATCCATAGCTGCAGCAAGTAAATACGCTTTAACGAGTAGTGACGTATATATTTATAATTTTAATTTCAAATTGGAATGCCAAAAGAACATCGGCATACAAATACATATATGTATAATACCGATGTCTTTTCAATTTTCTTTCAGCTGTAAAATTCATCATTTTATCATAAATGATAATTATATTAACATAAAGTTAATTTTAGTTATATATATATACATTTGATTATGTACGCCTACTTATTTTAAAATTAAATTCCTCTAACGTTATAAATGTCTCTTACATTAATTTTATTAATATATAATCACCTTCCTCCTAAAAAAAATATATATATATAATTATATATACATCTATCATTATATATATTTAACTCCTCTCTCTTTTCCTTTTCAATTTTATACTAGCAAGTGCACATCATGTATAAAAATCCAAATTTTTTTTTCATAAAATTAGATGTATCGATTCACATATGGTTGTTTTATTTAGGAATTAAATTTTATTCTGAAGAAAGTGAAAGAACGTTAGAATAATAATCCGTGACATTGAAAAAATATGCATTTCCTTATTTACGTATATTACATCTTATTCACAAGACTTAATATATATATATAAACTGAGTTCGTCACTTTAACTATCTTTGTAAAATATAACAAGCATTAGCAAAGTATGTACGTACTAAAAAGCGGTTTGTTTTTTTGGCTGTATTATGTTACACTTTCTGAATTTAAGTAAATAAATAATTTCTATAATATATGTAGATAGATTTTAAAAAATTCGAAATTTGGGCAAGGAAAAAGTACAAGAGCGAGTAGTAAAATTATTTAAATCTTACTATTAGAACTATTCTTTTTAACTGTATTTCCTGCATTTGAAATAAATTAATGGACAAATGCATTCAAAGTTTGAAATAAAGAAAAAACTGTAAATATAGCTAAATGAAGCAAAGTTTGTGTCCCTGTTAATATTTCGCAGTGACTCTGTTGACATAGAACGTAGACGATTATTAAGATCCTGTTGTTGTCCTATGGACTTGTTTTTATTTAAATGGCGAGAGGAGCGCGAATGTGGCATGGCAGCGCATTGGTCTATCATACCAATGATCTCGGGTTCGATCCTGATAAGAACCAAAATATTTACGCTCGTGTCTCCTCTCGGAAAAGGCCGGAAAATCTCCCGAGAGTATCCTTGTTCACAGAAACATCTCTCGAAAAATCTGCCGTTTGGAACCAGCATTAAAACTGTAAGTCCCATATGCTTGTGACAATTAAATAATCAGCATTTGCACAAGCATATGAGGGAGATGTACACAGGCCTGAGGCCTAACATACGAAGAATTAGAAGAAATGGCGAGAAATAATATCTTCGCTGACATTAATTTCGGATAGTGTGGAACTATCCGAGGCGTCGAGTGGCTTGCCACTCGGTGTGATTGACTCACGATCTATAGATCTGATTCAATCCCACTTGCACCCACATACGCAATTTTTCGCGTTTAAGGAGCCGAAAATAGCTCTGGATTTGATGATTAAGGGCGGAAAATAATTCATAGTCCGTTCTTATTTTAAGACCGTCTTAAGTAATGTCTTAAGATGATAATGTAGCCCTCTGATTGGCTGATGACATCTTAAGACTGTACTTAAGACAGTCTTGAATATAAGAATCGACTATGAATACCGGCCTTTAAGAGATCTTTAATCATCCAACATTTAAGCTGTAAGTCCTATATATCAGTGGATATATTTATACATACATTTGTTCAAGTCCGGATTGAATGACAAATACGATGAGACAGATACTGATAAATACTGATATATTTTTTTTAATGTATCCTGCATTATAATTTGATGATCCAAAGATATAAAAGTTAAAACCCTATAAGGATTAAAAAAATTTCTAGTTGAGAATATAAAATTTGAAAAACCTGAAATTTAGAAAATTCCATCAAATTTAAGAAATGTTATATTACATAGTTCTCTAGATTTAACGGAATCTCTCCTGTGGTTACATATATAGAAATTAGAACTCGATTACATAGAAATTACGAGAAATCAAAATTTTTTTCTTTTATGTCGTGATATCACTTGCATATACTTACCACGATATTCAATCTTGTCACAATCAAGGAGATTAAAGATTGGGTCCAAAAACTTAAAAATTCTTGAATCTTTTATCAATATGTTCAATTTACAGAAAAAAGTCTGCCAAGTCAAATCTAATTGTCATACATGATTGATGCGGTCGGAAGATTAACTTCGGAGTTTGCGTCGGATAGGTCGGGCAAAGATAGCACCACTGGTATGGGTATCACTTGAATCTTCCCCGAATCATCTTCGCTTTGCAGCACCACCGCAGTGCCAGATTGCAAAATATCATTCGTCATAATTTCATCTGTTATGATCTCTGCACCAGACTCTATACTATCGGCCGTAACTTCCTCAGTGTACATATTGGAATCTTCTATGTTCATGATTAACTCGGTAGCTTCCGATGCTTCTCTCGAAGTTTCTTCATACTCCTAGAAGAATAATCAAATTTGCAAAAGAAATAAAAAAATCAATAAGATTCATTTGTTCATTAAGACTACACTTTATGTTGTCTTCGACATTTCCTCTCCGACAATAGTAATTCAAAAATATTAAAATAAAGCTACTAAATAAGAGCTTTATGCCCATGTCACACTACGCATTGAAGATTGAGGATTGCGAATTAAGGATTAGAATTCGACCAATCAGGTAATTTTAAGTTTAATCCGTTTCGTTCTAATTGGCTGAATTCTAATCCTCAATTCGCAATCCTCAGTCTCCAATGCGTAGTGTGACACGGACATTACCTGCTCATACACCTGTTCGTATTGCTCTCCACTTTCAAACTTGACTTCTTCAAACTTGACTATTTGTCCTTCCGATAAATTCGCATATTGTCCTTCCTGTTCTTCGAATTGCTCTTCGGTAACATGCATTTCCAGACTCATCGAGCACTTGATGGTATCTTCCTGATCGGATTCGACGTCGGAATCGACGCGCGCCGAATTCGAATTCTTCTGTTTAAGATTTCTTCCGGGTACAATACGCTTGAAACCTGAACCACCGAGACTCTCGTGACGACGTTCATGTTTGTTTTTGTCTCCGAGATATTTGAAACGTTGTCGGCATACGCTGCACGAATATGGACGTTCATTGGTATGCGTACGCTCGTGACAAACGAGAGCACTCACTTGTTTACATCGCCAAGGACAGTATCTGAAACATATTAAATAAACAATAAATAAATGTAATATGTAAATAACATATATATATATAATATGAATACTATTCTTAACTTTTCCATTTTGATAAGACGCAAGCGATTACAAATTGTAATTTTTCAAATTGTTATTAAATCATACTCGCACGCGCGAGAGACAGAGACAGATTAGATGATTTTCTGATTGAATGCGTAATAATACCTGAAATGTATTTTAATCGTGCGTTTTCAATACATTTACATTTTGCAGAAAAAGTTACAATGAATTATTTGTCATATGAATATTTCAAGAAGAATAAAATAACATTGAAGTAATTTTGTATATAAAAATTAAAAGAATCAATTTTTTTTTCCTGCTATAAATGTCTAGTAATAAATGTATAATAATTCACTTACTTGCACTGTAAAGGTCTCTCGTCGCTGTGTCGGTTTTGATGATGCTTAATCAGCTGAATTTTTGTCTTCAAATTGAAACCACAAATCTCGCAAGTATATGGTCTTTCCTCAGAATGGGAGATCATATGAGTCTTTAGCCGTAATTGGTTCACGAATCGTTTTGGACAGTGAGGGCATGCTAAAGTACCCTCAAGACGATTGTGCACGACCATCAAATGATGACGCAGACGCACTTCGGAGTTGAAAATACCTTCGCAGTCGGTGCATTTCAACGGGTCCTTTTCCATATGCGTATTTTTAATATGTGTACGAAGTATCAGCTCTGTCTTAAAGGTCTTATTGCAATGATAGCAGGAAACCCGTTTCTTTTCGGGCAGACCAGACTCGTCGCGGGTAATACCTACAAAAAAATAATTTTTCTATTATATCGAAAATTCCAAAAATGTATTAAATGTTTTTTTCTCTTTCTTTCTTCTTACTTATTCTCTTTCATATATATTATCTAGAAATTTCTCGCAAATACTTTATATTTATTTTAAACTCTAATAATATTCTCGTAAAGTTATAGACTAATAATATATAATACTATAAAGTATTATAAACTGAAGACTACTAGAAATGTTAGAATCACATTATAAATTATTTACGGTGTTTATAAATCATTTAACAGCATCAAACATATGTTACCTGGTATTGACTGATTATGAATATGCGACATATGCCACTCGAGCGATCTCGTCGAAATCATTGATCTGTTACAAATATGACACGTATACTGCTTTCCATCCTTATGTTCTCTATTCCTGTGAATTACCAAAGTCGAATGATTCGGGAACTTTTCCCCACAAACTTGGCAGGAACATTCTTTCAAGCCTCTACTTCCAGTTTTTTCGTGCACTCTCAAATGCAGCCTCAAACCATCCCTCCGATTAAATCCAACGCCGCAAGTATCACAACGAAACTGCCTTTGATCTTCGTGAATTCTCACATGTTGCTTCAAAGTCGAACTGTTTTTGAACATTTTGTCGCAATGTGGACACTGGATACTGTAAGCTTTGTGTGTGTGCATATGTTTTGACAAACTGTAAAACGGCACCAATTTTCTGCAAACTGGACATTCCCTCTTATTTCCAACCGGTTGATGTTTTCTGATTCTATGATGTCTTAAACTCGCGGGATTCTTAAAATCTGCACCGCAATCCTCGCAAAGATATGCTCTTAAAGTAGTGTGAACAGATTTTAGATGAAAGCTCAGTTTTTGTTTGAAAGCAAATTTTTTTGGACACTTTGGACATTGATAAATCTTCTCCAAACTCGTGTGTTGCGTCTTCTGGTGCTGGTCCAGAGTTCCTTGATGTTTGAATCTTTCACCACAAATCTCGCAAAGTTGACCATAAAGAGTATCAACGTGTTTCTGCTCATGTTGACGTTTTTTTCCTTTGGAATCTAGGATTATGTCGCAATATTTGCAAATGAATTTCTTCACGCAAATCACATTATGATTTCTTTTCGCTTTATTAGTTTGAAATTCTTCCCCGCAATCATCGCAGCAATGAAGAATACGATAATCGTGAGATTTGAGGTGTCCTTCAAGGAGATCGCGGTTGGAGAAGATTTCGGAACAATAATCGCATTCTAAATAATTCTCTTCTTCGGAAAGAAGATCGAAAAGAAGACCGATAGGATGTTGAGTATCGATAAGATCCGGAAGCGATTTAGATGATGATTTTACAGTCGTGGAGAATCGATCCTCATAGAGGGAGATTATATCTTCATCCTTAAGGCGAGTAAGAATGATTTTACGCTGCTTCAGATACTCTAGGAATTCCTAGAATAAAAAAAAGAAATTGAAAAAAAAATAAAATGACAAATTTAAAAAACCGGAATAAAATTATAAATGTGAATAAAAAATTTTGTACACCGGGGATTCCAAAGATTCAAAGAGATTCAAGGCCTTTTTTACAATTGATGATAATAGAAAAATGAATAAGAGAGATAAATAAGAAAAGATTAAAGATAAAGTATCGCATTAGTCTTAATAGTGTTTTAATAATGAAATTTCAATTACCTGCAGATTTTCTGTTTTCCCCAAGACTTTTGCTAATTTTTCCAAATTCTCTTCGCTACATGATTCGTCTAGTTCCTTTTGCAAACTTTCCTTTTTCCGCTTTGTTTCTTCCAATTTTTTCATTCTCGATAACTTTAAATGTTCTTCTGTATTATCACTAATCCTTTCTTGACCTTTCTCAATCTTTTCACCTCTCTCCATTTTCATCTCTTCTTCCTCTTTCTGCTTCTCGTTCTCCTTTTCTTTTATTTCCTCTTCCTCATCTTCTTCCTCTTTCTCCTCTTTCTTCGTCTCTCTCTCTTCATTTATATTCTCTTCTTTTATATCTATCACCTCTTCTTCTGTATTTTCAAAATTTGATTTAATATAAATTTCTTCTTCTTGAACTTCTTTTTGTGTTTCGTTCACGATATACGTTACTGCCGCCTGACTTCCAAGAACTTTTTCTCGTTTCTTTTTATATTCTTCGATTTGTTCCTCAATTATTTGTTCACGAGCGTCGGGGCGTCGAGATGAAAAATCCTTCGTCAGTGTTTCGTAACGTTTGAGAAAACGTTCAACAGGCTTGAGATCAGCGGAGACTGGTGCTACTGCGCGTTTTGGTTCCATGGGTTTGTCCATTTTCTTGACCTGAAAGAAGTCACAAATATATATACATATAATATATAAAATTATAATCTACAGGGTGACCCATTTTAATCGACGGATCCAAATATTTCTGTTCCCTTGCATTTTACAAGAAAATGTTTCAGACAAAAGTTGTATGATTTCAAGGGGGCCATAAAATGGTACCATTGATTTGACTTTGGATAGTCGCTTAAAGGTCACATAAAGGTCACCTTCAATTTCTTAAATTAAACCCACTATTTTTCATTATATATTCTTGTAGCTTACCTCGAAAGCTTTCTAAAACACTATAATAAAATATTTTTTTATGTGACCTTTAAGCGACTATCCAAGGTCAAATCAATGGGTACCATTTTATGGCCCCCTTGAAACCATACAACTTTTGTCTGAAACATTTTCTTGTAAAATGCAAAGGAACGGAAATATTTGGATCCGTCGATTAAAATGGGTCATCCTGTATATATCGTACTTAAAAATACAGAAAGAAACTAATGACACAGAAAGGAACTTCTTGATTAAACATAAAATAAAATGACATAAGTTAAAATAAAATTTAAAAAAAGAGAAACAAAAAATGAAAATATAAAAAATAAATAGTGGAACTAAGATTGGAATCAAATGGAAATTGCAATATAATTTGCAATTTGGAATATAATAAGAATGGTAATTATTTATAATTTTTCTTGATTTTGTAGGGATACAACAAAATTAATAATCAATAAAAGACCGAAAATAAAATATAACAATTCGTGTTAAAATAAGTAAGAAGAAAAAAACGAAGAAATAATTTCTCTGCAACAAAATAATAAAATGGGAAAATAAAAATCAAAGAAAACAAAAACTTATATAATAAGTTTTATTAAATTTTAATCAATTTTATGCACACACAATTTTCAACAATTTTTTCTCTTAAAATCATTTGCTCACACACTTACCTTTACCAGAAGAATCTCGTTCGGTTTGGACCCCTTCACAGTTACGTACATAATTCCTTCTTCTTCTGAAGGATTATTCATATTCAAGAGACTGTTCGTATCTAACTTCTGCACTTTATGCTTCTCTACCATACTTTGTATCTCATCTTCCCCTCCATTATTCGTTGTTATCATTGGTATTAGTTTTCTTTTCAAGATATTCGGCTGCCACATTCCATCTCTTTGATTTTCACCCTCTGAAGTCTGGGAAACTTCAGATTTCACAGAAATTCCCTCATTTCCTTCCACTCTCACATAAGAATCTGCTGCCATATCATACTTGTAAACAGTTTTTAGAGATTTTTCTTCTTCTTCTTCATCTACCAGGAGCGCGGGGTCTTCAGGATCAAATTCCTCAATAGATTCTTCATCTTCTCCTTCTGCAACTTCTTCGAATATCCCTCCTACCTGTGTCACCTTTTTTTCCTCCTTGTCTTCTTCCTCCTTTTCCTTCTCCTTTTCCTTTTCAATCTCGAAGTCCTGTCTCATTTTCGATTCGTTCAATGAAAAGATGGCACAGATTTTGGGAACAGAATCATCTACTTGATTTTCAGGAATTGCTTTGTTTACATGTTCTGTTGATGATGAAGATGAGTTTTGTTGAATTGTGGGGGATAATTGATATTCTGGCTTTGTTTCTGGAAAGAAGAATTTTCCTTATTTTCACAATATGTCATCACATTTTTATCTTCTTTTCTTTTATTAAGTAAGCGTTGCAATTTACTATTATATTCCAGAAATGAGATTTTCAAGTTATAAAAAATTTTAAACTCCTTTACGATACATAACAAATGATATATCGAGAGAATTAGTAATCACGCTTTCTCTGAGTTACAAATTCTTTGATCGATTTTGATTTTCAAATTGATTTTCCTAACAGCATATCTAAGCAATTTTCAGTTAGAGAAGCAATAAACAATTAAAATAATTTCTGAGAACAAATTTTTGAAAAGCTTTAAAGTTGCCGATGGATAACAAATTCTTCAAATAATTTTAAACAGACATTACTTACAAGTAAAGTTTTTATTTAAAATCTTGTTATATAGCAAAATCTAAATAAAAATATTAAAAATCATAAAATAGATGTTCTTTCAAAGTAGAACAATCTATATGTGATGTACAATTATTCACTGTAAATTAAAATACGTTAAAAAGAAAAATGCAAAAAAAATACAAAAAAGTACCTGAATAGGATGGTTGCTTATCCTCTTTTACTATTAAAGAGTCATCGATTGGTGTTACTTTCTTCATAGCATTATCAGTCGTAAGATTGACATGGATAGATTTTAGTTTTATCTCAGCTTTTTTTATCTGCATGAAAAATTTATAACTCATTCTAAGATCACAGATACAGTCCATGCACATTTGTGTGGACAGATTATCATAAGGATTAACTTCGAGATGCTTGATTTGTTGACTCAATCGCAATTTGATACCCTTTTCACTAAAGATATCCACCTACAACATGAATTAGTCGTGAGAGTAGCTATAACTATATGACTCAACCAATAGTATTCAATAAATATCAATCAAATGTAATTAATAATCATAATATACAATGTTTATACCAAAGGCAGTTTTAGGCCAGCGCAGGTACGGCAGTATTTTCTTAGTTCTTGCCGCGTCTTTTCGAGAATGGATGTATTATTTTGTTGCGACTTGCTGTTACTCAAAGACGAAATCCTTGTCAACTCATTTAAGCTCTCGGTGTCCTGTAAACGGACACGAGGCGTAATTTTCTTCAGCTCATCTATGTCTCGAATTTGACCCACAACAGACCCTATTTGAGATATTTTGCTGATAGTGCTATCGGTACCATTGTTGGCATGTTGAGATTTAGATTCACTGTAGTTGTGATCACGCTTATTGATTTCGGGATTCGACATCTTCTCCTTTTTTTCCTTCCTCTTCAGGATCACTTGCACTTGTTCTTCAACATGTGATAAATTTTAATTTTAATATTTTTTTCTATCTTTTTGTAAGATAGAAAAAATACATTTCATACATAGATATGTATGAAATGTATATCTTCATTTATATTCCTGGGAAATTTTTAATAACAAATTTTAAAAAAACAAACAAAATGTAATAAAAATAAAAAATATTTTATATTTACTAAAAAAATCTTCATAACACAAAATAAAATACCTTAATCATTGAAGAATCTAATGCTGATTATAGTAATGCTAAACATTCTGTAATATTTGCTTGTTTCTGCTACATAATCACCTTTCCCTTTGCACTTATATTACAACTTTGAAACAATTGAGTTTTAGTATTGCTAATGCCACGGTGAACATTTCATTTTTAAGATCAACTGCATAAATTTGTGTGCTTTTATATTGACCACTATAACGAGCATAGAAAACAAGAGATTAACAAGTTTGTATTTCCCTGGAACTTTTTACAAAATCGTCAAGATGTTCTTCGATTAATCGCAACAGAGAATCTCTCTCTGTCTCTCACCCTCTCTCTCTTTCCTTCTTTCTTTTCTAAAATAAATATATATATATATACACATCAATAGTTGTATTTTAAAATTCTGCATTTAATTCCTATCGAGCAATATTATCAGTCGATAGTGTGTGGGTGTATTAAGACTATTAATTCTAAAGTCAATTTGATGTTCCATAAAAAGCTTGATTCTCACCGAATCAAACCAAGAACCGAGTTCAGGCTAGATAGAGACTCGGTTATAACGTAGGATAAGTTTCAACCTCGAAGCTGCCGAAAACAGAGACGTACTTTCAAAAACCGTCGTAACTCAACACAATACCGACGATAATGATCCCGTCTTCGACGAGAGGAAACTCTAAATTCGCAATATACTCTGGTATATTCGATACTTGGCCGTGAGTGCCAGATGGCGCGTGCAAATGGCGGCCTTTCCACGGAAATGCTTGGAAACACCTCGAAATAATGGACGCTTTTGACTGAGCGAGCCGTCTAGATCAGAGACCTCTAATGGCTCTCGCACACAGGGCGCGGCAACGCTTGTCGGAAGTTGTCGCGATAACCAATCATTCTTTTGCTTTTATGGTAAAGTATTAAATTGATTGGCTACCGTGCCAATTTCTGTCGTGTGGCAAGCGTTGCTGTGTGCAGGAGCTATAATAAAGCTGACTTTTCATGCGCAGCACGCTGCAGCAGCAAGATATCAAAGCAATAGAAATAGAAATATAAAAATATACACAATAGAAATGTAGGGAATAATTCAATAATTCCAATTGAAATTCATTCAGACTTGTTCCGTGATAGGTTGTAGAATTATAAGTAGAAATTAGTAGAAATTCATAGCGTTTTCGAATGGAATCGGTTTGAACCCGATCCGGTTCGATTAACCCATGTTTGACCCGAAAGTATCATAAGAGGTCTGTTGCGTCGCAAGCTCCAACATGCTCCAATATGCTCCTATTCACTCTATCAAGCACATTGGAGTGAGTAAGAGCTATGGTAGGAGCATTTTGGAACATATTGGAGCATGCGACACGACAAACCTATAGTCTCGTCCAATCAGAAATAAAAGTAAAGCATAAGTTTGTCCGCGTCGCAAACTTCAACATGCTCCAACATGTTCCTACCATAGCTCCCATTCATTCTATCAAGCGCGTTGGAGTGAATACGAACTATAACGGAGCATTTTGGAACATGTTGGAGTATGCGACGCGACAAACCTATAGTCTCGTCCAATCAGAAATAAAAGTAAAGCATAAGTTTGTCCGCGTCGCAAACTTCAACATGCTCCAACATGTTCCTACCACAGCTCCTATTCATTCTATCAAGCGCATTGGAGTGAATACGAACTATAATAGGAGCATATTGGAACATATTGGAGCATGCGATGCGAACAAACCTCATGTAACGTCATGGATTCGACCCAGTTCCGAAAAAGTCGGAATGGATTCTGGGCACCTATCATGGAAAAAATCGGAATAGATTCCAATCGGAATTATTCAATTATTCCCTAGATTTCTATTGTGTTTTTTAGGGAAAACGGAATTATTCCGATCGGAATTCATTCCGACATGTTCCATAATAAATACCCTGATCGGAATTATTCCGTTTATCACTAGATGTTATTAGATGGGTTATCATGGACAGTCGGATTGTTTCCGAAACGGTCGGAAAGTTTCTGGTACCTCGCGAGCTGGCGAAATGTTGATTCCGATCGGAATCAACATTGAGAACGTGAGAACGACAAGGATAAAGTAGGGACTTAAACCCTTGGAGGTTAAGTCTCGAGAGATCGCTTGGCTGGGATGGTTGTGTACTTATGTGTATTAGGAATCATATAGAAGAGCTAAAAATAAATTGTGATAATGGTAAGTATTGGAAATATTTTACAAGAAAATTAATAATAATATTAATAGTAATTACCATTATATATTTTATTTATACGCGGGCGAAATAATGCGTTACACACACAAAAATCGATGTTTTAATTTTTCTTTTGAGAAGGATCCGATGCGGATCGAAACGTTTGTTGTTATTGCCGGCATTTAGATTAAAGTATGTATTAACCTTGGCTCGTAGCCCTATTACCTATTTATATTAATAGTAATATTATAATATTAATATTAATTATTTTTTAAATATTGTCTTTTTCTTTTTGATATTATAGTTAGCAGCAATACACTGTGAAAGAGAAAGGCAGCAGACAGAGATAAATGCAAATAGAATAATGAGAAGAAGATTACGAGACATGCTCGATCCATTTGCTCTGCTTGAAAATCAATTTATCGGTTTATATCGGTTAACTAGGGATATAATTAGAGGACTTAGTGCCAATTTCACCAACCACGGTTAGATTAACCGACGGTTAAAGTTAGCAGGGTGGCCAACAGACATTCATATTCTCTCGTAACCTCTTATATATTGTCAATTTTACGGAGCTTTGTCTATCTGAAATTTCATCAGTGAGTGAGAATACAAAATGAATGATATTATAAATTACATATTTTTTGACAAATTTGCTGGTTACAATTTAGAAAAACGTCGAAGACCACGTAAAATCAAACCACGTATAAATTATTTAGAATTGTTTGACTTTTTTTCACATGTATAATACACTGTTTATTGCTTCCCACAAATTTCAGGTTAGAGCCAAGAGGTTACGAGAAAATATGTGTCTGTTGGTCACCCTGCTAACTTTAACCGTCGGTTAATCTAACCGTGGTTGGTGAAATTGGCCCTTATAGATGCGTTGGAACCGCATCTTCCTCTGCAAAGAAGTCCTCTGGCAATTCCAAATGAGTTTCGGATTTTCAATACAATCAAACTAAAATTATAATAATCCCCCAAAGAGTTGATGCTTCTAGTATCTCAATACGTTTGAAGCAAACAAAATGACAAATGCGATTGGTCAATTCCGATGGACTAACTGGCCAGTTAAGTTAACTGGGCTTGATGACAGTGGCCCTTATTGCGAAAAATATAACCTATTAAATACAAAATAATGCTCAAAGGACAATCATAATACTGACTTGATTAGTTGTTATCATTTTCATGTATGTTATTTACTTTATTTTGAATGAATTTTATTAATGAATCTGTTGCTAACTTTTAATATTTAGGGGTACATTCCAAAACGTTCTCTCCGAGGAAAATTTTATTCGAAATATAGCACACGTAATGTATGCTATAGCATATAGAGTAAAATCTTTCTCAGAGAGGACGTTTTGGAACGTAGCCTAGGTAACCATATATTGTGAAAACGGGCCTTAATCACATCTCTTGGGCTGCGTTCGGAAATATTACCCGGGTGCCCCCGTGTATTAGCCTATCCTTATTTAACATTAGGTGAACGAGGATAAAAAGTATGGGGGCATTCGGGTGATGTTTCCGAACGCAGCCATATGTGTAGTGCTGTACTACACTCGGGCTGCGTTCCGTTTCACACATGATGCGCATAATGTATCATTTATCCTTGTTTAACATTTGGTGAATAACAAGAATAAATGATGCATCATGCGCATCACGCGAGAAACGGAACGCAGCCTCGGTCACAGAAAGGTTGCAACACTTTTTACGATGTGTTTCGGAATGCAGTTTGCTCACTGAACGATTGGCTGTTATTTATGGATCCATGGCTGCGGTCCACTTGACGCTACAAAGCGTTTGAGCGACCAATCAGAACGAAGAATTTTATGAATTGACTAATCAAAGAATGCTTCGAAGCGTTTGTAGCGTCAAGTGGACCGCAACCTACGAGTAAGAACTTCTTATTTGATATAACTTGAAGAACAGGTCGGTAGATACATAGTATTTGTCAATACCTGTGCTAAAATTGATTTTAGAGATTAGAAACGTGTATATTACGTTTTATACGTTTTTGACGTAATATACGTGTAATTAATAATAATAATAATAATAAGCTCGGGAGGCAGCCACCAGTTGAGGCCCGCCAGCGTCACGCAGACTAGATCCATTGTGTCTTCCCGGCCGTACTACCTCCAGATCAGATCAGATCGTCTTCCTCCAGAAACGGAGAAGATCCCTGACCTGGAGTTGACATACCTGCTCGGGCTCGAGAAATACCGAGTATATTACATCAAACGTATTTTACGTGTAACGTAAAAAATCCTAGAAATTGTCAAATGTCCCAACCGTGCCTACGACCGCTACGACTTCTATTGTAGACCCTGCATAAGGCCGGAATCACACTACGCATTGAAGATTGAGATTGAAGATTGAAAAATTCAAATTTGACCAATCGAAACGAAAGGAGCTAAAATTTCTTTGTCCTTATTGGTCAAATTTCAATCTTCAACCTCAATCTTCAATGCGTAGTCTGATTCCGGCCTAAAAGGTTGCAACAGATTTTTTTCCTATGATTTTCAGAATGTAGCCTACTCTTCGAGCGATTGGTTTTTACTTACGGATCCATAAGTAGGAACCAATCGCTTGATGAGTAGACTGCATTCCGAAATCCATTTAAAAAAAGTGTTGCAACCTTTTAGTCGGTGAGTGTACATATCTATTTGGTCTACATTTTTAGCTCTAATGGAATATGCCAATCAAATGCAAGAGCTCACTGAGCGCTCTGCGCTTCTGGATGCATCCAGTATTACAACCGCTCACTGAGCGCTCTTACATCTGATTGGCATATTCCATTAGAACTAAAAATATAGACCAAACAGGTACAAGAGCTCACTGAGCGCTCAGTGAGCGGTCGTGGTACTGAATGCACCCACTGAATGCACCCAATGGCTGCGTTCAGCAGACTCAACAGTTTTGCAACCGTTTTATGATTGTCTGCTGAGATAGGACCATTCTTCTAGATCTAAAAGTATGATCCAATTAGCGCGAAGGAAACTTCCAACAGTTGCAAAACAAACGTTCTGCTGAACGCAGCCATTGGGTGCATTCAGTGGGTGCATTCAGTACCACGACCGCTCACTGAGCGCTCAGTGAGCGGTCGTGGTACTGAATGCACCCACTGAATGCACCCAATGGCTGCGTTCAGCAGACTCAACAGTTTTGCAACCGTTTTATGATTGTCTGCTGAGATAGGACCATTCTTCTAGATCTAAAAGTATGATCCAATTAGCGCGAAGGAAACTTCCAACAGTTGCAAAACAAACGTTCTGCTGAACGCAGCCAATGTGTGAACGCTCTCTAAGATTTAAGGTTTTCTCCCGTAAAATGAACAGATGAACTAAAACCTAACCTTGCCTAATTCGTGAAACGAATGATTTTGAAGCAATTTGAAATGATTTCAAGTAATTCGCAATAGCCTGTCGAGATGATAATGATTGATTTATTTAGTTAAAAAAGATTAAAATTTTCGAAGAGTTGAATCCGTAATATGTCGAATGAATTTGTGCATTCTGTTACGGTCCCGCGTATCTACAAAATCACGGCTAATATTGTGCGCCGCGTGCGAGAAGATGGTGCTAGCCTAAAAACGCTGATTT